AATTATAAAACTAAACATTTAATTAAACCATTTTATTTATTATATAACATGTTGATTCAAAACATGTCAAGCAAGTAATTCCATTGCCAAGGAACAACAGGGGTTTGAGTGTTCCAAGGTCCACAAACAATTCCAAAATCATTACAAAGTCATTTAGGAATTTATAAAAACCATTTTGTTATTTTTATTAATCCATAAAAGGCATTTAAACATATTTAAATTAATTAACCAATTTAGAATTATCAAAACAGTACCAAACTTTATTGTGAAGGTAGGTATTAGCATGTAAAGCATACACAAAAAGTTTCATGATTAAAGCATAATTATTTTAACCTATAAAAATCATGCAAGATCCATTTATTAATTAAAAGAGGTAAGTTTTAAGCATTTCAAAAGTACTAAACATGCTCAACTCATATTTTTCCTAGGTAGAGAACATCATACCAGAGCTACACAAAAAATTTCACATTTTTATCATGATTCTATATTTTTTTATGAATTAAACAAAATCAATACATATTCATATTTTCTGAAAATCGAAAACCATTTGAAAACATTTCGTACTCAACCCCAACGACCCACGGTCACTGACGCACGGGACCCGTGGTCAAACCGCCCTGCCCGCCTTGACCACGGATGCGCCGGCGGGTAAAATTTATTAATTGGATAATAAAGATAACAGTAAAATTTATGTCCAGTGTTATTCGGGTTCTTGTACTCTCAACATGCTATTTCCGGATTCCTAAATTTGGTTTGGCTTCTCATTTATATCCAAACGGGTCTAACCCACTCAATATGCTGACATGTCATGCTGACTGTGCGTTGGCCTGAACGTGGGGCAACATGTTAGCTCCACATCTCCCTTCATCTCAAACATGACCATTTATATCTATGAAATGTATTTCTATTCTCATTCAACTTCTAGTGTGGTTATCGTGAGCGTCGCTGGCAAGGTCACCGCCGGACGAGGCAAGGTGGGGATTGAGAGCTATAGCAGGTGCTGCCAGCGGGGAAGCCACGGGTGCAGCAAATGGGCTGCTACAGACAAAGTGCCATTGGTGGGGCCGGGGGTGGGGGCGATGCAAAGCGTGGACGGGGCGAGGCTTGAGCTTTTTCCACGGCGGATGCTTTGCCGCTAAGGTCGCTTTGGTTTTTTCTTTAGTAGATGCTTTCTCATTGTTGTTCCATCTTCCATAGATCGATGCTTTGCCACCAGGTTGAATTCGTTGTAGAAAACCATTGTGTTGATGTGTATTTTGTTCTCTCAGGTTTAGTCTGTATGGGTGTGGGTGCCTCTCTGTATGTCTATTTTACTGCTCTAGTTCGCACCAGGTCGTTTACCACTGCTTTGGTGATATGTTGTCTACACTAGAAGGGTTCTCTCGTAATTGCGCCATGTAATTCTCTTCCTCTCAATGAAATGCATGCTATGGCATGTTCGCGAAAAAAAAAGTTAGAAGGCATGACCATGTGATGCAAGAGCCCAGCAAAGGTGAAGAGATGAGAAGCGACGGAGTGGAAGATAAATTGAAGACAAAGGTATATGCATTGGTTTTATCTTTCACCGGCCATAAGTTGATTAGAGAAGTGATTTTGACCAAATTGATATGATAAATAGCCATACTATAAAGAGATGAAAGTTGTGTTTGCAAATACGGTTACCTAGTGTCACACTTGAGTGATTTAACATTGCTATATATGCATTAGGTGTTGGGAAATCCTCCTCATGAGTGGGTGTTGAGGAGAGTAAATGCTCCTAGTGAGCAGGCCCACACGTTATAGGTGCAGCATAGAAAATGGACCAACCTTGTGTGCATCTAGTGTTTTGCCTCTTGGCTTATAAGAGAAAGAAAAGGAAGCTTCGTGAGTCTCAGTTCAGCAGAGAGAGAACTGAGCAGCTCCAGTTCAGCCCATTGCTCCTTGTGTGTGAGAGAGGGAAGAAAACTAGAGAAAGAAAAGGGTGGTAGAAGAGTGAGATTAGAGAGGAGATCTTGCAATAGATCAAGAAGGGTTCGTCCTCAAGGTCGTGAAGCTTTAGATCCACATCCTTGGTGCCTCTAATTTGAGTTCCACCATTATTTGGTGAGGTCTTTCCACTCCCTAAGTAGTAGCCCTAAATCTTATTGTTGTTATCCAAGATCTACGTATCTTGATGTATGATTACCTCTAGTGCTATCTAGAGATGAACTTGTTGAAATTCCACAAGCATATAGTGGAAGAAGATTTGGCTGGCTTGGTCTCGTGGTTTTTACCCCAATTTGGGGGTTTTCCTCGTTAAATCTGGTGTCTTATTATTGCTGCGAGTTTGGCTGCAACTAGTTGCGACTGCAGTTGCAAGTGATTTGACACAACTAGTTGTGCTTGCTGTTGGTGCTGTTGTGATCAGTTGCAACTGCGGTTGATGTGAACACAACTAATTGTAACCAGTTGTGACTGCTGCTATTTCCTCCATATATATGTGTGATGCATATGTTTCCTTCCGTGAGTAGGTGACGATCTAGGCTGATTTCGTATTGTGGTGAAATTAAGCGCTTCCGCTGTCACTAGCAAGCGTGTTAGTGTGGTTATCCCAACATTAGGATTGAGAGGTGTGGTGAGATCGAGTGAAAACCAGTTAGACAGGAGAAAATGGAATAGGAAACAGGAGTCTTTCCTGCCTGGCCTCTGTCTTCGAGCAAGTTCGAGTTATCGTTGGAGTACTTGGAGTACTAAGCGATTTCAGTATGAGAAGTTTACTATCGGTTCTTTCCTATGCTAACTTTGTCTTGAAAGATGTTTGAAAATACTAACTCAGTGCTAAAAGCGTTTGTCATCCCATAAGAGACATGTTGGAGTTAGCCATTTAAAAATGTTTTAAAAAAATAAGCTTGGTGGGCTCACTCACCGGAGCTCTCCGGTGTGCACCAGAGTTTTACATTAGGGGTGCGTTTGCGAGGGTGGCCCAGGCCGGCCTTGCGCTCGTGGGTGCAGGCTCCCGTGTTTGCGGCCTTGGCCCGCGAGCGAGCCCGGCTCCCAAGAGTCAAATACGCCGCCGCCGCCTAGCCCTGGAGAAACGCTGCTAGGGTTCGTTTACAGCGAGCTCGGCCATGCCATGGGCGCTTCATGGGCGATTTCGACAGCGGCTCAAGGGGCTCGCATGGGAAGGTGAAACTTCACAAGCTTGCTGCCACACAGTTAGCCTCTCTCAGCCCGGCTACCTCTTCGATGATAAACACAGCCTCGCCTGAGCCGGACTCATTGGGTACACAGGCGCAAACAAGAACTGTTGCACCACTTGGGACAGGCCTGCCTAGGCTGGACTAGTTGGGCTGGCCAGGCCGGCCAGGTACAGGGTCGCAAACGCGCCCTAGAGCTCGGCAATAATGCTCTTGCCAGCTGGTTTTTCCGCGCACGTGCGATTGTCTTCCGGTGCCACGTACACTGAAGGTGTGAACACTGGAGCATTGGAACAATGTATGTCAAGTGGCGATAAAATTATCTGGTGTCGTTTGTGGAGTCTTATGTGCAACGGGGATGTTAGTTTACAGGCGTGACAAGTCATCGTTGGAAAGCTCCGGATTGGTGTTCGCTCTGTGTTGAGGCAGATTATGTTGTTTTTCGTCGGATTGGTGCTCCGGATTGTTTGCAGCATTTGACTTAGATTTTAGTAGAGATCCCATATAAACAATATCGCTGAGCGAAACATTATTTGAGTACTAGCAAAGTACTCCATAGGACCAGAGAGGTCAATATATATGAATTGTGATTCATCCGACTATACTGCTACTCTTTGCATCACTGGCTCAGCTACGCTGAACTGTGTTGTTTGCTGGAGAAAACCTTCCAGAATAAAGTTGTCATATTACCTTAGAAACTCGTAGTAGTATAAATTCAGTCATATTCCTAGCATATTGTCAAGCACAAGAGAAGGAAATCCATGTGTTTACAGTACCCCTCCCATGTCCCAGAAAAGAGTCCTAACCAATGAACTGGAAATGCAAACATGGAACACAAAGCCTCAACTATATATTCCATGGAGCGAGACTAGTTTTTCAGAACAGAATAACTAGTACTAAAAACTGGTACAAGACTGGATGACTTTGCAGAAGTTTGTATCGGCTTGGAACACTACAAACTAAAAGGAAATAACATTATTATAACACTACACTTTGAGACCACCCTATTGGCCATTTAGCAAATCAAATTTAGGCCCGTTCGTTTCGCTGAAAAAATAAACCGAAACACTGTTCCAGCTGATTTGTTGTGAGAGAAAAATACTGTTTCGGCTGAAAAAACTAGTTGTGAGTCAGTGACCACTTCAACTCAAATAAGCGCATCACAATTGTAGGCCTGAAGAATCTGAACTGCTACAGCAAAATGCGGTTATTACTATGAAAAAAAAATCAGGTTCAAGTTGGCCTATAGTCCCTCCGTCAAACCAAACACACCCACACACACACACCAAAAATACACTCAATTTTTCTTAAGGTTGACTAGATTTAGAAAATATTATTAATATTTATATCTCCTAATATATTTATTATAAAAACATATTCAACTATTGAACTAATAATATTTATTACACATTATAGATATTAGCATAGTTTTTATAAATATTTAGTTAAAATTTAAAAAGTTTAACTTCTCGAATAATAACATGTGCAATTAATTTAGCAGAGGAAGTATATAAAAAAATTAGCGCTGAATGGATGCAAATCATCGCCATGCCTCAAGCGCGAAATAAAGCAGCACAAAATGGAGTGTCAGCAGATCAGACAGCTATTTTTCTTCCTTCGCTTAAGAGATACTCCAGCAGTGAGCAATTGCTGCCAAATCGGACCACCGTGTCCACATGACATTCTGTTACAATTTCGTAACACGGAATCTTAACACAAAAGAATGAATGGTACAGCACCCGCCAAAAGCACAGGATCCACCATCCGTGCTCCTACCGTGGAAAAGCAAAACACAAGAAGCAACAAATCACCAGCTTCGGCTGCGAGCGTCCGGTGGACGAACTCTCAGCGTTCCTGCGCCGCCGATGAGCTCTCCGCCCGGTTCTGGGCTGCTTCAATGGCAGCCGGAGTGGAGGCCTCGGTGGACGGCCGCGTCCCAGTGTCGCTGCGCCGCACCTCCTCGATCGTCCTCACCACGTCCGTCATCTTGGGCCGCCGCTCGGGGGTCCTCGACACGCACGCCATCGCGATCTGGAGCATCTCCACCATCTCTTCCTCGATGTTGGGGTACCGCAGCAGCTCACCGTCGAACACCTCGGCAGTCCACTCCTCCCGGACCACCGACTGCACCCACCTCACCAGGTGGACCACCTCGTTGCCGCCGCCGGTTATCTGGACAGGCGATTTCCCCGTGAGGAGCTCCAGTATGAAGACGCCAAAGCTGTAGATGTCTGAAGACTGCGATGCCTTCCTCGTGTCGGCGACCTCCGGTGCACAGTACCCAAGAGAACGTGACCTTGCGGTGATCGGGTTCATCAGTGATGCCAGGCCGAGGTCCGAGATGCAGCCGTATTCGTGCTTGTTGATGAACACATTGGAGGCCTTGATGTTGCCGTGAACAAATCTCCCGTTGTTCTCGGTGTGAATGTGTGCAACTCCTCTTGCTGCTCCCAGGGCAATCTTTAACCTGGTTTCCCAGTCCAATGGTGTTCTGTCCTCTCCTCTCCTCCCTGAAAGCGAAAAAAAAAGAGCAGAAATATGAGATGTCTGTCTTCTTCAATCAAGTGAAGCGTTTAAACATCAGATAATAACCATCAGACCACAGTACAATTGATGTTTGTTTTCTGGATAACAGAAGTACTCCTTATGGCCTAAATATTTATATCCAAGTGTTCCTACATACAGTGCAAGTTTCTACTGTTAGATGTAATGCTCCATCATGATACAGATACAAAACTAACATGATTGCAGATAGTTGATGCATAGTACATCTACCAGCGGTCCTCCTATGGTCCAGATTCTGACACTGAAATGGAGGAATGGGCCATGATAGTGAACACCAACGCTAACTAATTGAAGGATTTTACCAATTCAACATGAGAAGACTAAAGGTGACAACACTCAACTACTGTCTGCTTATTAGTGCATCTGTCATGCAGTTTTCTTTCACAACCGCCAGCCATTTTTCTATACCTGCCACCACTTATAGCTCCCTCTTTTCCTTTTTAGCTAGTATATTCACAATGTCACATGGTTACAAATTAATTAACTATGCAGTTTCCTATTGACATCATGTGATTTAAGTACGCTTTGTTAACATGACAAGATTTCACGGTCCACTTAACCTCATAGGATGAGATATGAAACAGATTATTGCTGCTAAGATGGCACTGATGTGATCAGAGTTGACCACCACACATCAAGCATGCCATGTGAACTTGAATTGAAATGGCATGCTTGAAGACACATTGAAAGTGAAGACAGCTAAGCATAACGCACCAAACAGCTAGATATTAATGAACACAGGAAATTCAATACATGACAGCAAGTCAACAAACCAAAATTAAGGAAGAAATTGGCAGCACATGCTACTTTCGGTGAACCAAGCACAGAACACTGAAGCTCTTCTCCTTAAAAAAGGGTCAAAAGTGGCATGTTCAGCAATACGGAAAAGCTCCATTTCTCTCAACGGTAGGTTAGGAAACCATTCCCGTTCATTGTCAGTAATTCCACATGAGGAATTTTTTGTCAAAGCAGAGGAGGGAGCAGAGCAGATATTGACTGGTATGGCCTAAAAATAGGAAGCCGAGAGAAGAGAAATTATCAAATATATATATCGGTCAAAAAAGCCTCAAGTGCTACAGTCATCATCAGAAGATTAAAATGTGAACCTAGACTAGAAACAGGGCACAAACAAGGACCTTTCCCACATTTGGTAGCCTTTTGATGCTGCATTACCTTTATTTACCGTTAACCCCAATCGTAATCGTCCATCCTACCTATAGCGATCTGATAAAAGTCAAGCAAAGTTTGTTGCTTGCACTAAACAAACAGTTAGCTTATCAACCCATGAGCACCTTCCCAAACAACAAGCAACATGGCATCTCCAGGTCACCATAATATCACTCCACGTTACAAAATTTCTTCTTTTTAAATTGCCACATCTCCTAGCGCATTTCTTAAGTACCACTTCTGTCTCACTATCATGATTGCAACAATTCTAACGCACAAACAGACAGTGGTAGTTATCAAGACCATTGCAAACTGCGAATTCCAAATTGAGCACTGAAACGATGAAAGTGACGGGACGAAGCAAGAATCATACCATGGAGCATGTTGGATACACTTCCCCTGCTGTAGTAATCGTACACAAGCAGCTTCTCGTCCTTGGAGTAGTAGTAGGCGCGGAGCTCGACGACGTTGTCATGTCGAATCCGGCCAACCAGCTCCATCTGCTGCTCGAAGTCGCGGCGGCCGGCGTTCACCTCCTTGAGCCTCTTGACGACGACCGTGGTGGCGTCCTCCAGCACGGCCCGGTACGCCGTCCCGAAGGCGCCCTTGCCAAGGACCTCGGCGGAGGCGCGGAGCAGGTCCTCCAGGTCGAACGCCAGCGACGGGCCCTCGAAGAAGACCATCCGGTTGCCGTCCCCGGCCTTGCCAATGACGGCCTTGGACTCCGGCGACTCCCTCCCCTTCTTCTCCCCGCCCTTCCCGACAACCACGCCGTCGCTCCCTGTCTCGTCATCACGGCCGTCCCTATTGCAGAAGCCCAGGAGCAGCACCGCGGCGACGGCGAACCCGAGGACGCAGCCGCCGACGGCAATGGCGAGGATGGCGGCCTCGCTGAGCCTGACCCGCCTCCTCGAGGCGGCGGGAGGCGAGGGGGCGAGGCCAGAAGTCGGAGGAGGGAGAACAACCGGCGGCGCCTGGGCCGGGCGCGTCAGGTTGTTGCCGGCGAAAGAGGCGTCCGCGAACCGGAGGAGTGACGCCGGCACGGGCCCGTCGAGGCGGTTGTTGGAGAGGTTGAGGAACCGGAGCGCGGGGAGGCCGAGTTCCGGTACGCGGCCGGAGAGCGAGTTGTTGGAGAGGTTGAGCGCGACGAGGTTGGTGAGGTTAGCGAGCTCGGGCGGGATGCCGCCGTCGAAGCCGTTGAAGGAGAGGTCGAGCACCTGGAGGGCCGCGAGTCCCGCGAGGTCCCGCGGGAGCGCGCCGGAGAAGGCGTTGCGGTGGAGATGGAGCCCCGCGAGCGCGGGGAGGCGGAGGAGGTCGGCGGGGAACGGGCCGGAGAGGTGGTTGGAGCGCAGGCTGAGCAGCTGCAGCGCGGTGAGGCGGCCCAGCGTGCCTGGCGGGACCGCGCCCGAGAGGCCGAGACCCGGGAGGTGCAGCGCCACGACGCGGGCGCCGTCCGCGCTGCAGGTGACCCCCGTCCAGCCGCCGGGGGCGGAGCAGGCGAGCGGGGTGGTGGGCCAGTTGATGCGCGCGCGCGCGGTGGCGCCCCGGCCCACGCTTGAGAGGAACGCCAGTAGCGCCGCCTTGTCGGCGTCCGGCTCCGAGGAGGCCAGGCGGGGGCCGAGGGAGAGGTAGAGGTAGCAGAGCAGCAGCGCCGCCACGCGGAGCGGCGGCGGCGTGGGCATAGCTCACACCCCAGCTCGTTCTCCTCGCTTGGATCTGAGTGGGCAACGAAACGAACGCTGCTGAATGGAGGGAAGGAGGCCGAGAGAGAGGTGCGCCAAAGGTGGCTGGTTTGGCTCTCTGCTAGCTTAGCGTGGGCGGGGACTGGGGAAGGGGAAGGGGAAGGGGAAGGGAAGCGTGCGCGAGTGCGGGAGCGCGGAGACGCCGCCGAGAGCGAGCGAGAGGAGTCGGGGTCGGGGAAGGGAGGGCGTTTTTGGTGCGTTTCTTGGGGTTGGGGAGCTCAGCTGCCGCAGCTCTCGCTTCGCATGTGACTGGAGGTGGGGAAGTTGAGGAATGGAGCGGCGGTGTCGGCTACCGCGGTGCGTGCTGGGCAAGTGACGGCGGCACGGTCAGCGATCTGCGCCTTCAATCCCCATGTGAGCCTGCTCCCTGCCCTGCAGCTGCAGGTGGGTGGCCGTCGAACAGGCAGGAACGTGCATAGAATTCTGAATTCGGTTTGCGAGAATTTCTTGTTACAGTGGTTGAGCGACCGATCTGCTTGAGATTCCGTTGTGACTTGTGAGCTGTGAGTTTGTGAGAGTCAGCGCCGCAAGGTCGCTGGTTATACTCCTACGTTGGTGATCCCATCTGATTAGTGATTACCTTAACCATCCATATGTGATGATGTGACTAGCACAGGCTTGAAGCTTCAACGATTCATTCAACTGAACACAAGGCCCTGACCCCTTGACACGTGCCCAGTCCCAAGTCGAAGCAGTGAATGGTCCCAAGTACTGTACAGGACTTCCAACATTTTACACGCCGTCGATCAATCATGCATGACAAGGATTAGTACTCTAACCACTGTCTCGTCAGTGAACACGGAATTCTCAGTAGAAGCTGGCCAACTTCGGATTAGGTCGGCGGGAAGGAGGAAAGGAAGAGAAAGAGATTGGATGTGAATGAATCGAATCGAATCCTGCACTGCAGAGTGCAGACTGCACTGGCACAGCGCATGAAAAAAAGGTCGATGATGATGATGATTGCATGCACGCAGCACGTGACAAGCAGCTTGACCTGAGCTGGTTTAGTTCCTCCCCGAAAGTTTACACCCTATCTATCGATATTTCAAATCATCGGCTAGTAAATTTATAGCTACATGTCTGGCCTGGATAGTGTGCTCGGAGGACACAAGGATTTATACTGGTTTGGACGAAATGTTCCTACGTCCAGTCTGCTACTGCTCGTGTTACCGGCACTGGTTTTTAGTATGGGTTACAAACGAGCGAGAGAGAGAGAAGTTCTCAAGTCTCTGGCGAAAAGATCGAATGGAGTTGAGTCTTGCTGAGCTTGTTCAGCCATGTGCTCGTTAGCTGTCTCTCTTCTTGGGGTGTCCTGCTTCATCTTTTATAGGTGAAGGGGAAGGGGCAGGTTATAGAGAGAAAGAAGAAGAAGGCCTCCAGGGCCGTCGGGTCCTTCTTCTCCTTCATGCGGGTCCCACCGATGCTGTAGATGATGACGGGGACGGCTCCATGTTGAGCTCATGTTCACCACTGGTGCCATGCCCTGGCGTCATTAGCTGGTCGTGGCGTCCCATCCCGTCCCGACGGACGGCGTGGTGAACCGACGTGTCTATCAGCGGCCGTACGGGGAGTAGGCAGCATAGCGACCACGTACCCGTCACTATTGGCGATGTGAATACCCCAGGCGTGGCCTGACGTGGCCATTGGTCACGTCGAGACATGCCAACTTCCCTCCCGGTGTCAAAAGTTTGACCCCGGGTAGTACCCTCAGACCCGTAGTGATTGGAGACGATATGGGTCCCCGTCGGGCGAGACGGAGCCCACGCCCCAGGGGTCCAGCGGGACGGAGCCCGTGCCCTCTAGATCGAGTGAGACGGCTCCCGTACCCTTGGGGTCAGGTGACATGAGGCCCGTGCCCGAGGGGTCGGGTGAGACGGAGCCCGTGCCCTCAGGGTCGGGCGAGATGACTCCCGTACCCTCGGGGTCGGGTGACACGGGGCCCGTGCCCTCAGGGTAGGGCGAGACAGAGACCGTCCCTTCGGGGTCGATCGAGACCGAAGTACGTCTTTGATTATCTAGGCGAGTCATCGTCCGTGGTCCTCAGATCCCTTCTTCGGGTATCCCTAATACCAATACCCGACAGTAGCCCCCGAGCCTACGGAGGAGTAGGATACTCCTTCGTAGGCTTTTTCGGATGGAGGGACTTCGAGGGGTTCGATCTTCTGCTGCCCACGGGACACCTTGGTGGGTTGTGATTCCCTTCTGTTGCGATTGGACTCCTTGGGAACATGTAGATGCGGGATTCGGGGGGTCAAAAAGATTTCTCTTGATTTCGATCCCTCCCTAGGATCCGATCGATCCGCCATCGCCATGCGACCGCGTATTCGATCTCCTTGCGAGTCCAACTTCCCTCGAGCCCCCACGCGTAGTAGGGGTTTGGTCAAGGGGTCAGCTCGTCTTGTGATCGTCCTCCCTCAAGCGTTTTTATGATAAAACGGAGGGGCTGAGCCGTGCCACGTTTTCCTCGACGGACGAATCATGGTGCTCGGTGAGCTGTTAACGGGCTAGTCCGAGTGGGGCCCTGGCTTCCCGTTCGTGGGGGTCCGCCATGGGTCAGCTAGTGACCGACTCTAGATTCTTGGCGGCCAATCCATATAGTTCTTGGGTCCGTTCGACCGGTCCCAAGGGCTCGCTGCCTTTCTTCAAGGAAAAATCATGGACTGGGAACCAACCAAGACTCGAATGTGGGCCGGGATGCCTGCAACGCTCATGCGCCTAGGTACTGGTCTCTAGTGGGCCCATCCATTTCCATCCCTCACTCTAAAGGTGCCCCGGAGCGATTATGAACCCATCGGTGGGCCAACCTTCGAACTCCTAGGCCTGAATGGGTCGTGGGAGCGTTTTTAGCTCCGTATCCCTCCTTACCTATGGTGGTTCTTGGCCCATCGAATGGGGTGAACCGTCATCCGACGCGTCCTACGAGGGAGTGACTAGGGGTGGCGTGCGCATGTTTCTCAGAGAGGTGATGTGACGCGGTGCGGAAGTGATGAAGAGTCACGGCCTGGAGAAGGAGCTCAACGAGGTGAAGGCCTCCCTCCCGAAGGAGAGTGACAAGCATGATTACCTGCGCGTCGCCATCCAGCTGGTCTTCGATGACCTCAAACTGGCCCAGAGCAGGAGACGAGCTCGTACGCGGTTCGCGCCATCCGAATTACGGATCGAGCGCGTGAGATCGTGAGGGATGCGCTTTGCTTCAGCGTTCACCGATCGTTTGCGATCGCCCGTTCTCATTACGAGAACATCGATCTAGAGACGATAAGCCAGGGCTTCGCACCCGTCTACTTGGCGCCGAGCTGGAGGACATCGAGAAGGAAGTGGCCCCTATGGCGTAGGACTTATTTGCCAAGATAGAGGATGAGATCATCCCCCTAAAGAATTAGTTAGTTAGATAGGCCAGGTGGCGAACTTGTAATAAGTGAATAAGTTCTTAACTTTTGTTATGGCCGAACAGACTTTTGGCTCTTCTCCCTTTTTCGTATAAAAAAGTTAGTAGTGCGTTCTGACCCTTTCCGTTGTTAAGGCATGTAAAGCTCGAAGTGCGGGCGAAAAAACTCTTATCACGCTGGTAAGCAAAAACACTGTAGCCACTAGGGTGTAGGCTTCTTGTAGTCTGACCAGTTTTACTTAGCGTTTGTTTCCGCAACCCTTGCTTCTAGATCTTAACGTAGGAGAGGGTTGGCAGATATACTCTTATCAGCCCTCGAATGAGGCCCAACCCCTTACCGTTGCTGGGGTCAGGTGTCACTAAAGATCGAGGAAACGATAGTCAAATCGATAAGAGAAAGTGTTTTTCGTTTTAGAAATGTTATTCTTAATTTTCATAAGTACACACATAGATTAGGGATAAAAGCGACTTAGCTGCTCGATGTTCTAGGCGTTGACGAAGACCTCACCATCGATGGTCTTGAGCTTGTAGGTGCCCGGTGAGAGCACCTCCGCGACGACGTACGGTCCCTCCCATGGAGGAGAGAGCTTGTGATGGTTCTTGTTGCTCTGGATGAGGCTAAGCACTAGGTCCCCGACATTGAAGGCCCGACCCTGCACCCGACGGCTGTGGTACTAGCACAACGCTTGCTGGTACTTGGCCGAGCGGAGGAGGGCAACGTCATGGGCTTCATCGAGCTGATCCATGGCGTCTTTGAGGGATGCCTCGGTGCCCTGCTCGTCGTACGCCCTGACCCTCGGCGCTCCATAGTCGAGGTCGGTCAGGAGGATAGCCTCGGAACCATAGACCATGAAGAAGAGTGTGTAGCCGGTGGCCCAGCTGGGGATCATCCTCAGGCTCTAGAGCACCGCGGGGAGCTCCATGACCCATCGTCCGTCAAACTTGTTCAACCGGTTAAAGATCCTAGGCTTGAGGCCTTGTAGGACCATGTCATTCGCGCGCTCGACCGCCCGTTCGTGCAAGGGTGCTCTATGGTGGCCCAATCGATGTGGATGTGGTATTCATCATATAATCAGAGAAACTTTTTCCTAGTGAACTGCGTGTCATTGTCCATGATAATGGAGTTTGGGACTCCAAAGCGAAGGACGATGTCAAGGAAGAATAGCACAGCTTGCTCGAACTTGATCATGGAGATCGGTCGAGCCTCTATCCACTTTGTAAACTTGTCTACGGCGACAAGCAAGTGCGTATAGCCCTCGGGCGCTCTCTTGAGAGGTCCGACCATATCAAGCCCAAAGATCATGAATGGCCATGTGATTGGGATCGTTTAGAGTGCTTAGGCCGGTAGGTGGGTCTGCCGAGCATAGTATTGAAACCCTTCGCAGCGCGCACAATCTGTTCAGCGTTGGCTACTGCGGTCGGCCAGTAGAAGCCCTATCGGAACGCATTTCTGACCATTGTCCTAGGTGAGGCATGGTGCCCATAGACCCCACCGTGGATATCTCTCAGCAACTGCTTTCCTTGTTCGATAAGGATGCAGTGTTGTAGGATCCCG